GCAGAAGGAATGGGGGCATGGTAAACATCTCAGAAGGGACCCTCCCTAGTTTCTTGGACCATAAAGGGTGAGGGGGGAAAGATTGCTAGCTCTAACTTCATTGTAAGGTTACATTAACAGAATCTTGCAAGTACATTTCTCCACCCTCGCCTTTACAACCCAAGAAACTAGGGAGGGTCCCTTCTGAGAGGTTTGCCACACCCCCATTCCTTCTGAGGTCTCAGCTGCCTCTTATTGGACCATTGCCTGATTTCTTCCTCCTGTCTCCCAAGGTCATTCCCACAGACCATTACAGGAAGCATCTTCACCCTGAGGCAATTTCATACCATCTGCTGGGTCTCCAGATGGACTTTGGATTTGCATTCACACCACACGTTCCACTTAGATACCGCATTAACCCGTTTTCTGAGTTTGCATAATGCACTGAAATCAGCTATTCAAATGGGTTGGCCTTGAGACCCAGCTAGAAACCTAAACAAGGTTAATACTAACCAAGTGTAGCATGTTATATCAATGCATCTGCCAGATCTTTGTAAAGCGTGTTGAGTGAATTCACCCTTGGCTTGATCTAGTGTGAAACACCCAAGTGTTTGCTTGTTTAATGTAAGATACAAGGATCCAACCTTTACTTCTCAAGCAGACTTGGCCTGCAACCAAATGAAGTAGCTAGGATCTCTCTCCCACTCTCCTTCGGGTCCATCGTATCTACAGTATCTTTCCCCACTTCTGTAGGACAGGAGAAGCAACCTGTGACATGGCAGGTAGTGAAGAACTACAGCTACCAGCATCCTCCCTGGTCACATTGCCTGGGGCTGCTGGGAATTGTAGTTCAGTAACACTTGGAAGGCAGCAGAAGTTGGATTCTCCGCTTCCACCACACAAGCCTATTGGCCCAAGGCATGTCCTGTTACCATGGGTGCCACATGGATCTCATATCCGTCCACGGCAATTTCAGGGTGGCTCCACTCCAGGCGGAAAGACGTTTCATCTCGATTTGAGACACGGACACCAACGGATGGAATCTCTGTTTAGGCCAAGAAAAAAGATGGGGGGCGTGTAGATAAGAGCAGAAACCAATATTGCTTTTTTTCTTTTTTATAGCCAACCTCCCCAGAGCTTCGCCAAGATAAGGCTCCCTTGAAGAGACAGTTTGCCGCCTGAGGGGAGATAGTCAATCAGCCCCACCTCCAATCAAGGTGCACACCTCTGTAGTCCATGCTAGTTAAAATATTTGTGCAAGAAAATCCATGACCCCTTTTTCCTTTCTCTGGTAGTAAAAAAATACCTTGTCGTTTATTCATGTGGGAGACCAGGGTTTCTTGGCCTCGGCAACTTTGAAGATGTGTGGACTTCAACTCCCAGAATTCCCCAGCCAGCATGCGTGGGCCAATTAGAAACACACATTAAGGGGATTTAACGGCTGAAGCAAGCTGGCATAAATAGCTGTTTTCAAAGATGCTTAAAACCCAAGGCCTGGAGAAAGAGTGATTTTTTTAATGCTCTTTTAAAGGCTGGGAAAGTAAGGTTTGGCCCAGGACACTTGGCTGCAAATGTGCTTTTCTGTGTCAGACAAGTTGGGCTAGAAAGCACCTACACATTGTTTTGGCACAATAGCTATTCAGAGTGTCCTCATAGCCATCAAACTATATTCATAATGCACTAAATCATGAATGCTGGGCCAGAAATGGTCGACGCTTCAGCAGTTCGAGTCCAGCCTTCGCGTTAACAGGGTGAGCTCCTGTTTCGTCCCCAGTTCCTGTCAACCCAACAG